CTGACGCCAAAAAAAAAAAAAAAAAAAAGAGAGAGAAGAAGAAGAAGAAGAAGAAGAAGAAGAAGAAGAAGAAAAGAAAAAAAAGAAAAAGAAAATTTTTGTTGTAGGATCTGGGTGGTGGCTGTACACGCCTTTAATCCCAGCTCTCAGCAGCCAGAAGCAGGTGGATTTCTGTAAATTCAAGGCCATCCTGGTCTACAGAATGAGTTCCAGGACAGTCCGGGCTATTAGAGAAACCCTGTGTCGAAAACCAAAAAGAGAAAAAAAAATTGTTAATTTTCACTTGTTTTGTTTGCAGTCTAGTGGTGTTATTCTGTAGTCCAGAATGATTTTGAACTCACAAATCCCCCCAAGAGTAAGTTTTGTTGAGACAAGGTCTCACTCTGTAGACCAGGCTGGCCTTGAATTCAGAGATTCACCTGCCTCTGTCTCCCCAGTCCTGGAATGAAGGGCATGTCCACCACAGCTATCTTGTTCTTTATGACCGGATACTATGTAGTGCATGCTGTTCTAGAACTTGCTACACATTTGAGACTGGCCTTGAAATCTAGATCTCCCTGCTTCAGCCTTCCAAGTACTGGAATCACAGGTGCATGCTACCACACCTGGACAGGCCAAAATGCCTTGAGCCTGTATATTAAGACAATAACATCCTCACTGAGTTTAATCACAGGAACCACTGAGTAGGGGGCCTAGCACACAGTAGGCACTCACTCAATGGATAATAAGGTCCTTCACCTAAATTGGTGGACAAAACAAGACAAAATGGAAAAGGTGGGAAGAGTCGGGAGTTAACCTCAGTCTGGGGAAGTCCTCTTCTGAGTATGGCTTCTTTCTGGCTTTAGCTGAGCTCCTGAGCAGGGGTGGCCAGTACCAACAGTCGGTACAAAGGAGGCCCTATACACCCACCTGCGCATGCGTGCATACACACTATGCCTCTGCTCCAGGCAAAACCTTCCGGCGGGGATTCCCCCTCCGTCAGCTGCAACCCACGACATGTCAGCTCCCATCACAACACAGGGTGGGCGGTGGGGGGGGGCAAAGAGGAAAGGATGGGAAGGGGGGCGTCCTTGAAGCTATTTTCATCCCACCCTGCCCTATGCCCCAGCCCCTGCTGACCAACCTCTAAGGAATCTGCCAGTGGTGGTGGCCATACGTGACATTGATCTTTTTGCCCAGGGGAAGAAAATCGGGACCGAGAAAGCTAGAGAAAGTCTGAGAGAGCCAGAAGGAAGCAAGTGGGGAGGAATAGAGGGAATGACTGAAAAGGGGCAGGGCAAAAAGAGAAAGTAGCTCCCTCCCCAAGGCAGTGAAGGAAACTCCAGGTATGGCTCAGCAGAACATGTGCCTGGAATCTCCCAATGAGGGCCTGGGGGCGTGGCTTGGTGGTAGAGCACCTGCCTAGAATCTAGCAATAAGGTTGGGGGTGTGGCTCAGTGGGAGAGCACTTGCCTAGAATCTCCCAATAAGGGGCTAGGGGCGTGGCTCAGTGGTGACATGTTTGCCTAACATGCTTGAGGTCCTGGGTTCCCTCTCCAGCACTGCAAAAAGAGGTCAGCTAGGTATGGTGGCAGACACCTGTAATCCCAGCACTCAAGAGGTTCAAAGATGTAGGCTAGCCTGGGCTACACGTGGAGACCTTGTCTCAAGAAACCAAGAAGGAGATGAAAAGACAGGCAACGGTGGAACAAGGGAAAAAAAAATCTGAGTGAAGAAGAAAACACAGCGCGGAGCGTTGGTGGCACACGCCTTTAATCCCAGCACTCGGGAGGCAGAGGCAGGCGGATCTCTGTGAGTTCGAGACCAGCCTGGTCTATAAGAGTGAGTTCCAGGACAGACTCCAAAGCTACAGAGAAACCCTGTCTCAAAAAACAAAAACAAAACAAAGGAGAAAACACAATAAAGAGACTGAGACAGAGAGATGGATAAAAGACAAGGAAGGGGAGTGAGAAGCAGAGGAAGGAAGAAACAGGGATAGGAGATAGAAATGGGCTGCAGAGAGAGACGGAGGCAGCGCCAGGGCAGCCCAACGCCTCTGCACACCCCCATTCCCATTCTGCCTTCCTTTCCCTCTAGGCTGCCGTTCTGTACCGACTTGGAACCAAGGTCTGGGAGGCAGGCCTCCATCTTTAGGAGCTCTGTAGGGCACCTGATTGCTTTGGGTCTCTAGGGCCCAGAACCCTGTTCTATGAAACAAGCAGGGAGTTTCTCCTCACACAGCTGCAGCAGACTCAGGTAAGACAGCTGCAATGAAAACAGCCATTGGTTACCCCAAGGCACTGTAGCACCTCTCAAGTTAGAATCCCATCCCTCTGCCAGGGTTCACACCCCGAGTCCCAGCTGTATGTTGCTTCGATGAAATAATTGTGCCTCCTTGCACTCATCTGTGACAACGGAGATACCTAGCTACCTCACTGGGCTTTGTAGCTGGGCGTTGGTGGCGCGCGCCTTTAATCCCAGCACTCGGGAGGCAGAGGCAGGCGGATCTCTGTGAGTTCGAGGCCAGCCTGGTCTCCAGCGAGAGTGCCCAGATAGGCTCTAAAGATACACAGAGAAACCCTGTCTCGAAAAAACAAAAACAAGAAAATCCCAGCACTCGGGAGGCAGAGGCAGGTGGATCTCTGTGAGTTCCAGGCCAGGCTGGTCTACAAGAGCTAGTTCCAGGACAGCTAGAGTACACAGAGAAACCCTGTCTTGGAAAAACCTAAAAACAAAACAAAAAGAATATTTTGTAACATGCTTAGCTTAGCCCCAGACTATACAAATGCTACATTAATGTTCGATGACCCTAACATTGTGTATGTGTGAGATGCTGGGGATGGAATTCAGGGCCTTGTGCCTGCTAAGCAAATGTGCTATGGCTAAGCCACACGCCCTAGTCCCTCACTAATGGATTCTAGGCAAGCGCTCTACAAGTGAGCTAGTCCCTCCTCCTTCTTTTCTTCTCCTCCCCCTCCTCTTCCTTCTTTTTCTGAAACTGGGTCTCACTGTGTAGCCCAGGCTGGCCTAAAACTCACAATTCTCCTGCTTCAGCCTACTGAGTACTGGGATGACAGGCCTGTATACTGGCAGGGGTTAACCCATGCCTAGAAACACTTATGGACCCTTACTGATAAAATGGGACAGACCCCAATTTTGTGACCACCTCGTCTATCTTTCGGGATGTCATATGCTGACATATGGGGCCCTTCTGAGCCTCCTGACCACCGTGAAATGAACCCTTTCCAAACTACCATGCTCATAGGCTCGTCTCTACTCTTCAGTGGGAGTGGGCACTCGCCTCCCTGGACCCTGTTGAATTCTGTTCTTGGGTACACTTAAGTAGAGCTCTGGGCCTGGGCTGGCTCACAATGGGTGCTTTCACCCCACATCCCTTGCCCAGCCCAAGGCACACCCCACATCCCTTGCCCAGGCCAAGGCACTATACTTACCTCTCTTCAAGA